AATATGAGAACCGAACTTATAGTTCCCTTTGGATTAGCCACTAATCCAAACAACCACGAAACTTCAACCCCAATTTTCGTATTTTATTAGTTGTCAATCAGACCTGTTTCAACAATTATATGGGTTCTCATGAGTCATCATCCCCCAAGCCATATGAAATTGTTGGAGTTATTGCAGTCTAATTTATCAGGGTTTATTTGACTTTTTTCCTTTTTACTTTTTTATCTTTATTGTGATTTTTATTGGTTATATATACGGGGGTTCTACACTTAGTTTTATCTCTTTCACTTACAGATATCTCTAATTGGTATCAAAGCTACCAATCCTAACTCTAAACCTAAACCTAAACCTAACCTCCGTCATTGCGAAACAAACCAGACAACCCAACAAACTATAGTACCCCCTTCAGCATCCCAGTCCAGTACCACCTTCAGCAATACCCCTTAGACTGCAGTACCACCTTCACTTTCAATACCACCAATAGCATCCCACTCCAGCGAAACCACTATAGTCTTCACCGACAGCCAGCTAACTCCAACACCGAGACCAGTCCGACAGCATCCCACTCTAGGGAAACCACTACAGTCTTCACCGACAGCCAACTAACTCAAACACTCCACTGCCCAGACCACCCAAACCAATCAGTCCAATTGAAGCAAAACCCACTGTCCAACTAAACTAGAACCAGCGACAGCCTAACTACTAACCCATCCTTCACTGCCCACATCCACCGATAGCCAACCTACATCAAACCAACCGACATACTCAAACCAACCTACATCAATCCAACCGACATACTCAAACTAGCAACAAACCCACCCAAACATCCACCGACTGTCCACACCCATCCCCGTCCAAATAATTAGCAACAAACCACAAACCCAGCAACCCACCCCACTGGCCAAACCCAGACCAGCCCACTACCTACGACGAACCCAGACTAGTCTCAAACCCAACAAACCAGCCCACTGTCGGGTCGCACTCTTTGTTGTAGCTTCTTTTTTGCCTTCTTACACCTTCGTACTTTGTGCTCTTTGTCATAGTGCTGCAGCATCTAGGACCTTTTAAGTGGGTTTAATCCTCTTCTCCGTTGTTCTACTCTTGATGCAGTAGATCAATTATTTATATTTACTAGATTTCTGGGCATCGTGACTTAATTATTTGAGAGCTTTCTGGACCTTCTTTATTTGTCGCTATTGTTCGACTGGAGGTATATTATTCTCCCTTATTTTGTCCCTTTATTTATCTTAGAGTTTTTTCTATCACGGGTGCCCACATATTATTGTTGATATGGATACTACTGAGGGACGTGAGACTCTTACTATTGAGACCTCTATTGCTGAGACTTCTGTTAGTATTTTTACTGGAAATATACCGTCTGTTTCTCCCACTATTATGTTTGACCAGTATATAGTACCTACTGGCACANATTGCTAAGACTTCTGTTAGTATTTTTACTGGAAATATACCGTCTGTTTCTCCCACTATTATGTTTGACCAGTATATAGTACCTACTGGCACAGTTGCATTACCGGCAATGCCTGATATGATCTCTCAGAAGGTTACGGCCCAGCTGTTGAATGGTCATAACTTTGCTGAATAGTGATGCTCATTCCAGCTTTTCTTAAGCCGTTTAGGAAGCTTGGTTGGCTGACGAAATCTCACCCAAAGCCAGCTGATGATGACCCTGAATATTCTGCATGGCTCTTGGAGAATTGTGCTCTTCTTCGATAGTATCCTTCAGCAGTTCACTTGTCCATATACTCCTGAGCAAAATGGAGTTGCTAAAAGAAAAAATAAGAGTCTGATAGGGATGGTACATTGTATGCTTAAAGGTATGGAGGTACCAAAATCTTATTTGCATTTTGCTGTTTTAACTTCTACCTTTTTGTGTAATCGTACACCAAATTGTGTTCTTCAGCATAGGGCTCCCTTACAAGTCTTATTCCCCGAGTGGACACTTTTTTCGGTCCCCCTTCATGTTTTTTCCTATACATGTTTTGTTCAAGATTAATCTCCTACTAGCCATAGCTTGATGATTAAGCGATTCGTTGTGTCTTTGTGGGTTATTGTCATCAGTCTAAAGGGGTATCAGTGTTATGATCCTGTCAGTCGACGTATGTATTATAGTCTAATTGTTACTTTCTTGTGCATATTCCTTATTTTTCTTTCAGTCTTGTGTCTTCCCCTCCAGCTGATGATACTCCAATTAATTTTACGTTATCACAAGAACCAGAGCCACTGGTCACTATCATTATAGAGTCATTAGTCTTTCCTCCTCCAGAACTACTCATCCTTGTCAGTATAGAATCACCAATCTCTCTTCCTTTACAGGTTTATGTTCGTGGCCCTCGCTCTCATCCCCTTATTGATGTCCCCTTTATCGCAAGCGATGCAGGTAATGCTTCTCAGTTTGTTGAGCATATTGATGCACCTGTTATTAGTACTAATGATATTGCAGGTACTGAGCCAGTTACTTTACTTGATGAGACATTGTCAGTGAAGGATGATGATTTAGGTTGTCGTTATCCGCGGCGTGATCGCCATATAGTTGTTCGTTATGGTTGGATTGCTAAGACTTTATATCCGATCTCTGCTTATGTTTCTTATGATGATCTATCTCCTACATTTTTAGCTTATAGTATGACCTTATCAGATATGCCAATTCCTCGCTTGTTTCAGAAGCTATGCGAGAGCCTTAGTGGGTTCTTGCCATGCAGACGGAGATAGACGCTTTTCAGCATAATCATACGTGGGATCTTGTCTCTTTATTTTCAAGGGTGAAATTTGTTGGCTATCGCTGGATTTACATCCTGAAGTTTCTTGTGGATGATACTATTGATCATCACAAGGCTAGGCTTGTGGCAAACGGCTTTACTCAGGTACCAGGTTGTGATTTTGGTTCTACCTTTGTCTCGTGGCAAAATTAACTATTGTTCGATTAATTATTTCTTTGGTTGTGGAGTACTCTTGGTTTCTTCATTAGTTAGATGTAAAGAATGCATTTCTTCACGCTGATCTGGATGAAATAATCTATGTGGATGCACCACCGGGCTTTCGTGGTGAGGGGGAATATGCTGAAAAGGTATGTCAATTGCGTAAATCTTTTTATAGGCTGAAACAGTTACCACGAGCCTGGTTCTCTTGTTTTAGTGGTGTAATTATACGTTTAGGGTTCACCAGATGTTATTTTGATCATACCTGCTTTGTTCGATGAAATATTTCTAGACAGTGTGTTATCATTTTGGTTTATATTGATGATATTATTATTACTGGAGATAGTGTTTCTAGGACTACACAGGTCAAGGTAGACCTTAGAAAGGCCTTCGATGTGAAGGACCTTGGATTTCTGTAATACTTTCTTGGTATTAAGGTTGCTCGTAGCAGCAAGGGTATTGTACTTTCTTAGAGAAAGTATGTTTTGGATCTTCTCTCAGATATTGGGATGCTGGGGAACAAATCGGCATCATCACCCATGATTCCAAACCTGAAGCTTACTGCTGAAGGTGAAGAGTTAAGAGATTCGACAGTCTATCGAAGATTGGTAGGTAAACTTATCTACCTAACCAACACTATGCCAGACATTTCATTTACTACCAACCGAGTTAGTCAGTTTATACATAGACCATGTTAGCCTCATCTTGATACATTTTATCATATTCTTCAGTACTTCAAGTCTTGTCCTGGACTTGGGTTGTTCTATGCATCAAGATCTCAAACTGGTTCTTTAACCTGTTATTCAGATTCAGATTATGGGGGAGTATGTGACGGTCGATCTACTACGGACTTTTGTACTTTTCGATGGACTCATCTTATCTCTTGGAAGAGCAAAAAATAGTCAATTATCTCTCGCTCATCAGCAGAGATAGAGTATCGGACACTGACACTTGGCATATGTGAGATTATCTGGCTACGATCAATTCTTGGCGAGTTAGGATTTCCAATGACTTCTTCATCTACATTATATTGTGATAATCGATCTGCTATTCAACTTGCTTCTGACTCTATATTACACGAGAAGACGAAGCATATAGAGATCAATGTTCACTTTCTTCAAGAAAATGTTAGCAGTGGAATTGTCACTCCGTCGTTTGTGGGGACTAGTGATCAGGTTGCGAATGTTTTCACCAAACCTGTCACTCTATCCATTCTTCAGGACTCTGTTGTCTTAAGGGGGAGTGTTGGAGTTATAGCAGTCTAGTTTATTAGAGTTTTTTCCTTTTTACCTTTTTATCCTTATTGGGACTTTTATTGGCTATATATACGGAGAATCTATACTTAATTTGTATTCCTTTCACTCATAGATATCTCTAGCAAACTATATGAATTACAGTGATTTCAAAAAATCTGAACTAGTTTAGCCCTAACTTGCTTCTCAATGTGCACCCTTCTCAGCGAGTCTCCTAGTCTATGTCTCTTGACAACATAGAAACCATATATTAATCAAGCAACAATTGGCATTCAAGAATAGCTAGATGACCAATTTGTATAAATAGCAAGCTCTCGAGGTATGTAACCCTATAATTCCTCTCCATTATACATGCATGCAACACCCAAAGCAAATGGTTACTACTAGCCCCAATTTTTTAGTAGCTACAGAGTCTCATAAATTTTTTCTACGAGTTGTCACATACACATAATAATCTACCCAAAAAGTCCATGACACAATCTCTAAGTTTTTAGTAAACAAGTTTGTGTAGCCCTTTATTCTTCTCCAGTGCTTCTATTCCCATGGTATACATCTCTAATTCCATGTCCCAACAGATGCAAGAGTAAAACTGGAGACTGGATATAAAGAAGCAAGAAAGCCATAAAAGTAAATTTGAAGCAACTAACATATAATTTCAAATATTTACAATATGATGAGTAACATGGTAGATTCATGCACTGTAGCCATTCAACATTCCTATGCAACCTTGATTTGATAACATGCATTTACAAGTACATATATCATAGTCCACAAAACAAAGAAGAAAGAAATTGAACCATCATTGACTCCATCAAAAGTTCAGGCTTTCAACTCCATTATCTTCACCTTCATCCTCACCATCAGAGGTACATGATTTGTTCTTGCTTACGCAAATATCTGAGTCTTCTTTACCTTCGATGAGCAGAGCAAGGCTGTCCTTGTAAGTATCCACGTACAATGAGCCCATAGAGCCAAGAATTCCAAGATTCATACTTTGTTGAGTCCCAGCATTATAGGATACCGGCTCTGCACCTCTTGCTGTCGATAGTATCTCACCATTATTCCTCAGGAACAAAGCCTTACCCAAACCTCCCTCTAGGTCTACAATGATTTGTTTGCTCCAAGACTTGGCCACACCATATTCTTTCGTCGCCTATATGGAACAGGATCGATGCCCCGAAATTGTACCATAATGAAATACCGAAAGCAACCCTCCAAATACATAGGCATACATCATACTATCAAACACCTCATCACCCATATCAAATGACATAATCAAACTATGCACCCAACTACAACACCCCTCACGCCCCTAATATGCAACCCAATGCATCTTCCCGCTAATAAACGCCTGAGACCAATACTCATTGAAGCAAGTTTCCATCACAACAGCGCAGCAGAGCATCATTAATTGTCCTCCAATTCCTAGTGCTAAGCAAGTATATCTCAACCTTAGGGGGCATTGCAAACCCAATTCCCTTCTCAACATATGCAGTCCTCACAACCTTGTATTCATTAGTCTTGGAATCAAACCCAATCCCAAGACCTAACATGTAAGGCCTCACGTTATCAAAAATAGCATGGGGTTGTGGGAGGGTCAATTGTTGTCTAATCAAGGGGTTCCATAGAATTATGATATCCCTATACACGCATAGATCATCATTCAAGCAATGTAAACCATTACATGAACCAACTATTCAGTTATACTCTTCGTACACATGTAATGGGGAATTCGATTTTTAAAGAGGTGGTCGATGTTGAATGTTTCGTTGTTGAAGTGTACACTATAAAATTATTTCTTGTGGGCTTTAGAGTAGCATCTAACTAGTGCGTGGGTGTTGCTGCTTGAAAGAGTTGTTTGGTGGGTAGGCATGGAGATCAAAGTAGAGCTCGAAATCAAAGAGTATCATGATTTTGATACACACCATAATTGAAGGAGGGACTTTGGTGGGAGTCTCGTGAGGATTTGGAGCAACACTTATTGGGATATATAGTCTGACATTTGAGAGTAGACAGTAGACAGTAGATAGTGAGAGAATGGAACCAACCTACCTTACAGCCATTGGATTAAACAAAGTTTAATTTGAATCCCAACCGAGTTGTTCTATTTTGGTTATACTCCAACCGAATTGAATGCTAATTTGTTTGGATTTAACTCCGTTTGGAGAAGGATAATTCTATATGCACCTATTCTAATGACTAGAGTTGATTTGGTGTACAAATTTGACGCACATAGCATTGCTCTTTATAAAAACTTTAAATATTTTAGGGTAAATTTTATAATTGGTCTCTGAATTTTTCTCTGATTTTAATTAGGTATTTGAATTTTCAATTGTCTCAATTAATCTGTCAATTATCATCGTTAGATTAACGCTGAAATGAATCAGATTTGACTAATCTCTGATTAATGGCAGGACGAATATTTTTCTTGAACTTAGAGTATTATTCTTTTGAGTTTACCACACATGTAACCCGTAAACTATGTCATCTCTGTCCAATACGCTCCAGCATTAAATTTTGTGTTTTAGCCGCTCAACTATATAATATAACTTAATGGGACCCTTCTATCTAAATTCATTATTAACATTAATGGAAAGTCTCACATCCACATTACATGAACAAGAGATTAAGGTAGTTAAGACCATAAATTTGAGACTATTCCTTAAAATTAACAGTGAATTTGGATGGAATGACTGCATTGAATCAAATTGCATAGTTGAATGGCTAAATTGTCATAAAAATTAGTTCAAAGGTTTAATTGACATAGATGACATAGTTTAGAGGTCATCTGTATAAATTACTCTAATTTTTTTTAACTCAATGTCGACTAGTTGCAATGATCACTTTGATTAGTTAATTAAATGAACCCAATTTGAACTTGTGTTCAAACTTAAATGTCAATTCAACTTTATCTGGTCGTAGGGGTGTAATCGAGTCAAACTTTGTAAGTTTGAACCCGAGAATGTTGAGCTTGTTTTTTAAACGGGTTTAAAAAATTATTCAAGCTCGATTTGTTTAGAAAATGAGTCGAACTCGAGTAGTTTCACTATTTTATATATAAATGAGTCTTTTACGCTCGTTGAGAATACGAGTCAAGATCGAACCGAATTTTAAGCGTGCCAAACCCGAATAACTTGTCTCAATTAACACCCTTATCTGTTCGACTCATTTGTACATGTAAAATTTTGTATCCAATGTATGTTCATGATCCTATTCAAAAAAAAATGAATGGTCCTGTGTCTAGACGAAACAATTAGAGTTTTTTATTAAACTAGTTTTATAATTGAGATCGAACTTGGTTATTTAATTAA